GTGTAATGTAATATTAAAATTTTTAAGTCATAGTTTTTAGTCATAACAGGCTATGGTTTTTAGTCATTAAACGTTTTTCGACTCATAAACAGTTGTTAAACGACAGACGAATGACTTTTGAAACAGAAAACCTCACAATATACTTTGTGATACAATTGAATTCAAAAACAAATTTTATTGATCTTTGAATGAATTATTTTGATGCAAAATAACTAACTGTTTCATAACTTTTTATAAGTAATTGCAATTAAGTAACTGTAATTACAAATGGTATTAATAAAAATATCGAATTACAATATCATACTGCTATACACTGTACACGCTCATAGTTTTCACACAAAATAATAATGCAATTATAAGAATCATGAATGTTAGCGCTAAAATCACTAGAGAATCACCATGGGACACATCTAACTGGATTCAAAAGCTAATATTATCGTGAGTAAATAATTTAATTATGAATAGTTAACTTACTTTTGACATGTTAACTTTTATCAAAACAGATGTGATCTGTACTCATGTATTACTTTTAATTAGACTTAATATTGATAATTCATTATTACTTATTGACAATAAGTTATTATCAATCACTTTGTATTAGATTATGATATGATTATTGTATTTCGCATTCTTATCATGTAATTTATTAATTATGGATTAATAAGAAGCATGACAATATACACATTTAAATAAATTAATTGTTTATTATAATTTTATGACCTAGATGGATATATCCAGTATTTATGAAAGGTATGCGAAATAATCGTTTGGATTTTGATGACATGTATCGGTGCTCGCAATACGACACCTCCCAGTATTTGGTGCAATGTTTAGAGAAGTAAATCTATTTTACACTTGTTTAACTAAGTAAAGTTACTTAATAAAGTAACTTTATATCTGCTAGTTTTTAAAAATACCTCTCTTAAATCATGTCCTGTTGCTTTACCTGATACAGCATTACGGGACACACCATGATTCATGACCAGTATTTTAAAGCCTAGCAGATATACTCAGTTCACCATGTCTAATGTTTAATCAGTTTCTAATTAGCATGTTATTGTTTCTATAGAATTAAAAAATTATAATTATAATAATGATTACTATATTTTAATTAATAAATAACATTATATTTATGTAGAAATTGGGACAATGAACTAAAGAAACAAACACCTAGATTGTATATTGCTTTATTTAATACGTTTGCCAAGTATAATATTTTACCATTCATATTCCTTTTATTTGTTGTAAGTTATAAATATATTCCTTTATAAAATATTATAATTGTAATTATATAAACTTTAAATAATTAATATTTATGCATAATAGGAGTGTGTGGTTCGTATGACACAGTCTATATTACTCGGTTATGTTATTGATTATTTTGGTGGCGGTGATCTAATACAATATGACCATGCTTGTTTGGCGGCCGGAGGTGTTTGCCTGTGCGCTATGTTAACCACTGTTTTGGATAATGACAGCATGGTACGTTTAAGCCAACTGGGAATGCGCGCCCGTAGTGCCTGTTGTACTCTTATGTATAAAAAGGTTAATATCTAGGTAACATCGTTGCAACAAAAGCACTTTAATTCAATTAAAATCAATGTTAAAAATAGTCACTCAAACTAAATCAGTTATCATTGGGAAAGACTACTGTGGGTCAGATGATAAATTTAATGTCTAACGATGTAAATCGATTTGATCAGGTATACAATGTATATGTAGTTACTCTAATCTACCAAGTTTATTAATTTGATAATTATTTGAATTTAGTTTGCAAAATTCTGCAATTATTTAATCATAGCGCCAATTCAGTCTGGCATCATCATATATATAATGTACAATTATATGGGATGGGCGAGCTTTGTGCCTGTTGCTTTACTAGTTTTATTAATTGTATTTCAATTTTTTATGAGCAAAATGTTTTCAAAAGTCAGGTAAATGTGCATGTTTATATTATTGTCTTTAATTGAACATTAAACATGATTTCATTCAGATTAATGACGGCAAAGCTCACTGACACAAGGCTTCAGCACATGGTTGAGATAATATCGGGTATGCGTATCGTTAAAATGTATTCCTGGGAACAGCCCTTCGCAGACCTCGTGGCGGAGGCACGAAAGTAAATTGCCATGATCATTTACGACAATTTGTCGATTATGATTCATACTATAATATAATTTCCAATGCAATTATAGACAGGAAGTTTCGTGTATACAAAGATCTTGCTTTTTAAAGGCAATTAACATGTCGCAGTATAGTTTGATACCTAAGCTGATGGTATTTTTATGTTTCATTACCTTGGTACTCACCGGTGGTGTACTATACGCTAAAACTGTATTTGTGTCCATGGTGCTTGTTAATAGCATCAGAGCTAATATGACCAGGTATTTCCCAGAGGCAATCACTTTAGGCGCCGAGTTATTAGTTTCTTGTAATAGAATTCAAGTAATGTATTGACCATGGTATAAAATTTTTAATAATATAAACATTTAAGTAATATTCCTTTTAGAAATTTTTGCAATTAGAAGAAACACAAATAAAATCTATTGAAACCCCAAATAATTTATCTAAAAGTAAAACAAATGGCAAACAATCGGCAAAAGTATCCATTAATAACATAACAGCCAAATGGAGTGATGTATGAAATTATATTTTATTTGTTATAAATACTAATAATAATAATAATATATTGATAGGAAAGCCCGTATCCAATCATTAAAAATATTTCGGTACATTTAAAAGCCGGGGATTTATTGGTTGTTATCGGACCGGTGGGGGCGGGAAAGGTATGACAACATTGTATAGTAAACTATAAATTTAATTATAATATTAATCATTAATAATAATAATAATTATGACAATTTATAACAATTTTAGAGCTCACTCTTAATGACAATTCTAAAAGAACTGCCGGTTCTGTCGGGAAGTATAGAAACGGTGGGATCGATGAGCTACGCCGCGCAGGAGGCCTGGAGTTTCAACACTAGTGTCCAAAATAATATACTTTTTGGGGCCAAATATAACGAATCCCGATATAAGCGAGTGGTAGAGGTGTGTGCTTTGGTGCGAGACTTTGAGCGATTCCCGTTCGGAGACAAGTCATTAGTCGGTGAGAGAGGAGTACAGCTATCGGGCGGACAGAAAGCCCGCATCACGTTAGCCAGGTTCGGGTACATTTTGTTATATAAAGTATCATAGTGTATACTTTATATACACTATTTTACTTGATAGTCTTTACTATACTGCATAGTATTGTACGTTAAGTAGAGCTCTGTACCGAAACTCGGATATCCTATTAATGGACGACCCGTTGAGTGCTGTTGACACTAGTGTTGCCAAACATATATTTGATAAGTAATGCAATGATTGTTATAATTATGATTACAAATAAGTCCAACATTTATCATGTATTTGCGATATAATGAACACCAGATGTATAGTCGACTACTTGTGCGACAAAATCCGTATTCTAGTCACACATCAAATCCAATTCATACGAAAAGCGACACAAATATTGGTTTTGAACGACGAGGGAAAGTGTCTGGGATTGGGATCCTATGATGAGCTCCAGTCCCGGGGCTTAGACTTCATGTCTATTCTTAGGGAAGCCGACAATAAGGCAGAACATCATTTGGAAGACAGTTATGACAATAAAATAAATGCCCAGGGCACTTTAGTTGCCGAGAATTTGACAGTAAACGTGCCTGTAATAATATAGTAAATATATTTTTAATATAAAATCTTGGTATTTTATTAAGAATGAAACAAACATTATCGAACCAAAAATAAATGACGAGGGCCGGCAAACGGGTTCAATTTCCGGGAATGTATATTGCACATTTATCAAGGCGGGCGCCGGACCTTGGCTGTTTTCTATCACAATTTTATTTACAGTTATTGCTCAGGCTATTGTGCATGGATCGGACTATTTTTTAGCACAATGGTGTGTAGAAAGTAAAATCACTTACCATGTTTATTTATAACAAATTATATTTTTACAACAGGACTGACAAAAATCAAAACAAGGCTAACATTAAGACTTCTGAGCAGAACAGAGATGCGATTATCTACTCTTCACTGATGGCCGCGCTGTTCGTCGCAACCCTATTGAGAGCCATCACATGGTTTGTGATGTTTATGAGGGCTTCAGTTAATCTCCACAACACTATATTCTATCGTCTATTACGGGCCCCGATATCTGTGTTTGAAAAAAACCCAGTTGGTTTGTGTATTTAAATTATAAATTAAATCAATAAATAATGTTAAATAAAATTAATAGGTCGCATATTAAACCGCTTTTCAAAAGATCTTGGTACGCTCGATGAGCAACTACCAACTACATCGCTTGATTTAAATTTGGTAATCCATTATTTCACATCAAAATAAGTTTAAATTTTAATTAATTAATTATTATTGTATATAATAATTATTATTTAGAGTTTGACTCATGGTGTAGGCGGAATGATAATGATCACGATTGTCAATCCATATATGATTATACCATCATTCATCTTAATTGTAGTGGTTTTGGCAGCTAGGGCTGTTTACATCAAGTCAGCTAGGGACATTAAACGGGCCGAAGGTATAAGTAAGTTATAATAAAATCTAGGAATGTACACAATGCTACGGCTCAAAATAATAACCAATATAATAACTAATAGCCCGGAGTCCAGTGTTTTCACACGTGAGCACTACACTCAATGGGTTGGCCAGTGTTAGGGCATTTGGGGCGCAGGACATGTTTGAGAGACAATTTTACATCTACCAAGATGATCACTCGGCCACCTGGATGCTTGTCAACACTGCTGGTTATGCATTTGCCTTAATAATAGACGGACTGTGTTTTCTCTATACAGTCATAATATTCGCAGTGTTTATGGTATTCCCTGAAGAGTTGGGCGCGGGTGAGACTGGACTGGCCTTATCATCAGGTTTGGTCACACATTTTTTCTAATTAAAAACTATTCTATAAAAAAGAAATTTATAAACAAATAGCCTTAATGTTGATGGGATTGACTCAATGGGGAGTCCGACTGTCGGCTGAAGCGGAGAGTCAGATGACTTCAGTCGAGCGCATCATTGAGTACTCAAAACTACCACAAGAGGCGGCCCTCACAGCACATGACAGCCATAAACCCCCTCCCGATTGGCCACAGAGGGGACAGATAGAGCTTAAGGATGTGAGTCTATACTACTCGGGATCAGACAAACCGGTGCTCAAGAGCTTGAATTGTGTGATCAATGCGAGCGAAAAGGTAGGCATCTGTGGCCGGACGGGCGCCGGCAAGTCGTCCATCATATCAGCGCTGTTTCGTATGGTTGAGCCAAAAGGGGAGATAGTAATGGATGGCATTAACACGGGATCAATAGGTTTGCGTGACTTGCGGTCTGCCATCTCAATCATACCTCAGGATCCGGTGGTCTTCACGGGAAGTGTCAGAAAAAATTTAGATCCTTTCGGCGAATACAGCGATCAATACATATGGAGTGCCTTAGAAGAGGTGCAGCTGAAGGGGCCGGTGGGGGACCTCCCGGGCCAGTTGGACGCCCAGTTGGCCGAAGGGGGCGCTAATCTGAGTGTAGGTCAGAGGCAGTTGGTATGTCTGGCGCGGGCTATACTGCGGCACAATAGGGTACTAGTGCTGGACGAGGCGACCGCTAATGTTGACCACAAAACCGATGCCTTAATTCAGACCACAATCCGTCACAAATTCAGTGACTGTACTGTCCTTACGATCGCTCACAGACTTAACACTATTATAGATTGCGATCGCGTTTTGGTCTGTATTTCAGTCAAAATTAAGGATTGAATGATTTATAAATAATTTAATATCTAATAAATGTGTCATTTAATCAGGTGTTAGACGCGGGAGAGATCAAAGAGTTTGGCGAACCGTTTGTGTTACTGCAACAAAAGGGACAGTTGTATGACATGTGCCGCAAGACTGGCCGACATATGTTTAATCATTTACTAAATATGGTTAAAAAATCACATGTTATAAGACTTAATGCAACACAAATCGACGGCGAGGACATCGAGACTGTCCTGAGACAAAGATATTCATTAAGACTGAATATGTTTAATAATAATATTTAAGAATACTTTTGATTCATTTTAATCAACTACATGGGTTTTAATCAATTTTAATCTAATTTAACTACATTTATTTAATACCAAAAATCTTAAATAGTCTATAAATTACCTATAATAATAATTATTATTATTCTGTAATCGTTTAATTTAATTAATGTATTAAACAATAGCATTAAAACAACAATTATGAAAAACTGTATTATGTACAAATTACAGTTTTATAATAATAATTTATTTAAAAAATTGAATTTTCAAATTTTCAAAATTATTATAAAGTTTATTGATTAAAATTTATTCGTATTTATAAATAATTTATATTATTCTGTACAGAACAATTAAAGATTATTGTATTATATTACAATATTATTATATTTGTATCTAAAATATAGAGTGCGGCTAAAGAATCGCATTTTAAAAAATTTAATGCAACACAAGTCGACGGCGAGGACATTGAAACTCACCTTTGATCATAATATATACTTTTGAATCATCTTAATCAATTAACTATATGTGTTTTAAACAATTTAATCAAATTTAATTATATTTATTTAATAACCATAATAATTTTTTTAAATTTTTAACTTTAGTATTTTAATACTCATATTTCATTGCTTACATTGTTATTTTAAATAAACTATTATTATAATATAATTTAATAATTTATAATGGATATAATTAAACAACGTACAGTATAAATAGTAGAACATGAATCATCATGGTGATTAATTTAAAGATTATACAATAAAATAATCTTATATAAACATATCAATATAAACATGTTAATATAACGTTAAACATGATGATGTTAATCACAAGTATATAAAAATTATGAAAGTAAAAGTTGTAAATTGTTATTTGCATAAAAATTAGTTGAATATAAAGTTTATAAGTTAATACAATAAAATGATAATGAACAAAATAGTATTTAATTAAGAGAAAACAAATACAAAATATTTATATAAATTCAAAATTAAATATACTCATTAAAAATTTATAACAAAACTTATTTATAAAATTCTTAAAATTAAACCAAACACATGCTGGCAATTAAAATCATTAATTGTGTATTCCATAAGTTTTAATTAACCATGCTTTATGTTTTCCATACGCCATCAGTCTATCCTTCGAGTTCTCCTTAAAAAATAAACTAGATTAATAATCAATTGTAACCTAGGGCAAATTAGTTGCGCAAACCCAATAACCAAACGCTTGTTGCGATGTGCGGGCCTGTCGTACGGCCCAAAGGGACCAAATCAGGTGCGCGACTAACGAGTAATAGTCTGCCTCACGGATCAGCCGATCCTCCGTTTCGCTCCCGGCGCTCAAATCGGGTGAATGTTTGATATAATGGCACATAAAGTGTCGCTTTTCCTCATCGGTCGGATAGGCGTCAAAATCTACCCTAAAGTACGGGTAATCGGGCGCCGAATAGTCGTACAGGTGTTCAGTGAAGTGTGTGGCAAAATCAAAGCCCCGGTGGGTATAAGCGGCGTATTCGTAGTCGATGAACAATAGGCCGTCGCCCCCATAGGCCTGGGGGTCGTCGCATATTAGTATGTTTGCCGGCGCCAAGTCGTTGTGCGCAAACACTACGGGTGACTCGCACTCGGGCAGCACTCGCCTCAGCCATCGTAGTTCGCGGCGATAGTCATATGTTGTCATTTCCCGCTCCAGTTCGGGCCGCGGGTATCGCTGGGCGGGTGCGTCCGCACCGGTGGGTTTAAGTACTGATTGCGTCCATTTTTGCATCGTGGTGAATAGAAAATCCGGTCGTTTATCTATGGGTACATCCATTGTGTGAAACGCGGCCAACTGTTTGGCAATTTTGGCCATCAGTTCTCTGTCCTTAAGCTCTGGGGCTGTCATCGACCGAGACTTTTGTTGTTTCAGATAAGGGTTTTGGGGTAGAAATTATTTATTACTTTTTATTATACATAACTTTAAAAATTAAATCAGTTATGATTTAATTTTAAAATATTTTACATGTTCAATTTAACTAGAAAGACTATAATTTAAATACAAGTGTTAAATAAATTAATAATAAAATATGTAGTGAACTATTAATACATACAGGTATAAACTCCTCGAGTCGGCCGCCGGGAAATACACCATAGAGTTTGGGACCCAAACCCCGTTCAGACATTAGTAATGTTATGAGAGTATCGGTAACCTTATAGTCGTCGCCCGGGATTGTAGTCCCGATGCCGTACAGTCTTAACAACACATGTCTCGGCTCATTGGCCACCGGTTCCCGACCCTCAGGCAGTGAACAGTGATATATTTGATTAGTAAAACCACCGCTAATAAATAAATCCATTTAATTATATAAAAGTTTAATTAATTAACCTTTCAATAAATTAATAATTACTAAATTAGTTTAATTGCACATTTTAATAAATATTCTGCTTTTCTTATAAATATATATTTTAAATAAGTTAATTATTGGTTATAAATGTACATAGTACAAATATCTAAATTTACCTGAGTTGTTTTACAATAATCTCATCGCTGGTGATATTTTCCCATTGACCAGTAATAAATCTCTTGCATATATCTAGAGCCTTTTGCTCCATAGTAATTTAGTTTATTTAAAAATATAAATAAATATATTTTGATCAATTATAATAATTATATGTATATTATTAGATTAATCCAACACAATTTACTAAACAATGTTATTTAATAATATATTAGTTTTTATTTTGCACAGTTGGCATAAAGAAATTATTATACTTATGAATCATAAGTTATGATAAATATAATAACTAATATACTTATGATACACATACTATCATCTAGGGACTTATAGTAATAATGATCAGAAAGATCTCAATTAATAATATCAATTAATAATATCAATTAATACAAGCAATAAGCGGTCGTGTTTATCATAACTACATTTACCTTAAAAGTAATATTAAATTACATCTAATTTTTAAGGGAATTGCGAACGTAACTGGAGTTACAAATATATTAAGAATATAATTAAATTAACATAATTAAAACATATTACTATAAACTGTTTGCAGTAAATTAGAAAATAAATATAATTATAAGAAAATGGATGTTGGCGCTAAAATCAACAGAAAATCATCATGGGACAATTCAAACTGCATTGAAAAGCTAATACTTTGGCGAGTAAATATTAATTAATTTGTTTGTTTTTAAGTTATATCAATACATATAATAATTTTTATTATTTGCTATAAATTATAATGTATAAAGTATATACAGTATATAAATTTAAATAAATAAATTGTTAATTATAATTGTATAAACTAGGTGGATATATCCAGTATTTGTGAAGGGTGTGCGAAATAATGGTCTGGATTTTGCGGACATGTGCCGGTGCTCTCAATACGACGCCTCCCAATATTTGGTTGAATGTTTAGAGAGGTTTTGCTCACTAATTATATATTGATATTTCATTTTATAATTAGCATGCTATTATTTTTATATTTTATAAAAATATATAATCATATTCATAATTACTTTATTTTAAATAAGATTGTATTTATGTAGAAATTGGGACATTGAATTAAAGAAAAAAGCACCAAGATTGTATATTGCCTTATTTAAAACGTTTGGCAAATACCAGATTTTACCATTCATATTGCATTTATTACTCGTGAGTTATAAAGTAATCTTTATATTAGATTATCATAACATTTTAAACAAGACAATATCATTTATAATAATGTACATTGTAATTTTTATGTAAATATAATACAAATATTTATTAAGATTAATTTGTAATAGGAATGTGTGATTCGTACGGCACAGCCATTACTACTCGGATATGTACTTGATTATTTTGCAGGCGTTGAGCATATAAGATATGACCATGCTTGTATGGCGGCCGTGGGTGTGTGTCTGTGCAACTTATTATACTTTTTGTTTTATAATACCATTAAAATACGTTTTGCACAATTGGGAATGCGCGCCCGTACAGCATGCTGTGCACTTATATATAAAAAGGTTAATAATTTTTATAATTACTCTTATAATAGATTAATTATACTGATTAATTATATCATGTTTAAAATAGTCACTTAAACTGAACCAGTTATCAATGGGAAAGACAACTGTGGGTCATATTATTAATTTAATGTCAAACGATGCAAATCGATTTGATTATGTACAGTATATAACTACCCCAATTTAACCAAGTTAACTAACAATATAATAATTTGTTTTAAGGCGCCACAATTAGCCAGTTATTTTATAATAGCGCCCATTGACACAGGTTTAACTATATATATAATGTACACATATATGGGATGGTCAAGTATGGTGGTAGCTGGTTTGATAACTTTACTTATAGCATTTCAATTCATTATGGGCAATATGTTTTCAAAATTTAGGTATGTGCATGTTAATACAGTATACAATATTATTTTATAAAGCATTTATCAATTTGCTTAATTACCCAGATTAATGACGGCAAAGCTCACTGACACTAGACTGCAATATATGGTTGAGATTATATCCGGTATGCGTATCGTTAAAATGTATTCCTGGGAGCAGTCCTTCGCAGACCTCGTGGCTGAGACACGAAAGTAAATGACCATAATTTATAACAAATATGACAAATAATTAGATATAATTATATAATATTTCATCTAAATAGACAGGAAGTGTCGTGTTTACAAAAATCTTGCTTTTTAAAAGCAATCAATATGTCGGTGTATAGTATGGCATCCAAGTTGATTTTATTTGCAACTTTTATTACCTTGGTACTTACTGGTAGTGTACTGAACGCTAAGACTGTATTTGTATCGATGGTGTTATTAAACTTTGTAAGAGACAATATGACCTGGTGGTTTCCAGTATCAATCGCTTGTGGCGCCGAGTTATTAGTTACATGTAACAGAATTCAAGTACTATTGACCATGGTGTCAAAATGATATGAGAAAAACATTTACATACTAATATTTAATATCTTTAATATTTCTTTAGAAATGTTTACAATTAGGAGAAACACAAATAAAATTCATTCAAAACCAAAATAATTTCTGTAATCGTGAAACAAATGGCAAACAATCGCCCGAAATGTTCATTAATAACATAACAGCCAAATGGAGTGAAGTGTGAAATTATATTTCATGTTTGCAAATAAGTAACTATTTTAAAATAATTAAATCATTTATAGGAGAGTCCGTATCCAACCCTTCAAAATATTTCGCTACATTTAAAACCCGGAGATTTATTGGCAGTTATCGGACCGGTGGGGGCGGGAAAGGTATGACAACATTAGATAGTAAACTATACATCTAATTATTATTATTAATAATTAATAACTATTTAGAGCTCACTATTGATGACAATTCTGAAAGAACTGCCGCTTCTGTCGGGGAGTATAGAAACTGTGGGATCGATAAGCTATGCCTCTCAGGAGTCCTGGAGTTTCAACACTAGTGTCCGAAATAATATACTTTTTGAAGCCGTATATAACGAATCCCGATATAAGCGAGTGGTAGAGGTGTGCGCTTTGGAGCGAGACTTTGAGATATTTCCGTTCGGAGACAAGACATTAGTCGGTGAGAGAGGAGTACAGCTATCGGGGGGACAGAAGGCCCGCATCACGTTAGCCAGGTTTGTGTGCAAACATTTTAAACAATGACATATTATTTATGGTCCACATTATTTTTATTTAATGCCATTTAATCAGTTTTATTTTTAATTTAAAATATAAAAATAATTTCCTCGACGTTATTTGTAATTTATCACCAAAACAATCCATAATTTTGAATTGAAACAATTATAAATTAATTTAAATTATATATTTTATTGAGTTATACTAATTATTTTCTAATTTGTGTCTTATGTAGAGCTCTGTACAGAAACTCAGACATCGTATTAATGGACGACCCGTTGAGTGCTGTCGACACTAGTGTTGCCGAACATATATTTGATAAGAATGCAATGATTGTTATAATTATTACTACAAATAAGTCTAACATATTTATCTTCTCTCCACTCTTTATAACACAACTCAAGTTCTTGAGCACCGGTTTGTCTGATCCCTCGTAACACAAACTCATATCCTTGAGCTCTATCTGTCCCTTCTGTGGCCAATCGGGAGGGGGTTTACGGCTATCATGTGCTGTGAGGGCCGCCTCTTGTGGTAGTTTTGAGTACTCAATGATTCGCTCGACTGAAGTCATCTGACTCTCCATATCAACCGACATACGGGCTCCCCATGACGTCCCTCTCGTCAAGATTAGGGCTAATTATTCAATAAATTAATATTGTGTCAAATATTTAGTGAATTTGTTTTGGACTTATTTAATTATTTAAAAACATATTATATTTTTCTAATATTATTAGATAATTGATGGTGCCATTTTTAGATTATTGTTTAACACTAAAATCTGTTTAAAAGTTGCATTCTTTTTAAATAAATTCACGATTGTTAAATAATACCGTCTTTAAAAGCAACAACTCGAATAGAATAGCAATAACATGATTAAAACCCAAACCTGATGCTAAAGCGAGTCCCGCATCTCCCGCTCCTAACTGTTCGGGAAATGCCATAAACACTACAATTATTATTACTGTATACACAAAACACAGTCCGTCTATTATTAAAGCAAATGCGTAACTAGAATTGGTGACGAGCATCCAGGTGGCCGAATGATCATCTTGGTAGACGTAGAATTGTTTCTCAAACATCTCCTGCGCCCCAAAGGCCCTAACACTGGCCAACCCATTGAATGTAGTGCTCACGTGTGAAAACACTGGACTCCGAGCTATAAAATTTTTAAAATATTATTTCTTTTATTTATTCAATTATTTTTTAGTAAGACCTACTCAAACATTCCGCCCGTTTAATATCCCTAGCTGACTTGATGTAAATAGCCCTTGATACTATAAGCACTACAATTAAAACAAGGATCACACAGCGATGCTATACGTTAACCACAATTCGGGATATGCAATATAATTATAAAGTTTCAATAAACTCAATATTTACATATATGTCGCAGGATTAAACATTGATAATAGATTGATCNATAAACTCAATATTTACATATATGTCGCAGGATTAAACATTGATAATAGATTGATCTATATATTTTGACTCGTACAACAATGCTTTTTACAAATTGTAAAAATTTAGTTAAATGTTTTATAACCTATTATATACACTAAGTTTACTGTCATCTTCCTCTTGCGGCGATTGCTTAATGTACATACAGCGTCCTGAATATGTAACTATTATCTGAGTGGATAAACCGAGAATAGAAACGCGTTTAGCAAACAATTTTGACAACAAACCAATTTCCACTAAATCTCAATTAAACGGTACACTTTAAACAAATGCCAAAGGAATTGATTGGAAAGTACATCATATCCACGCGAAGGGTTCTTATAGATAGCATTATCCCGATCAGGAGGCAATTGATTCAAATCGCCAACAGCTAGAACTGAAACTTCACCGAACGGATCTTTTTTATCAAATATTTGTCGCAAAACTGAGTCAATTTCTTTGAATTTCTGCGCGCCTACCATGGAGATCTCGTCAATTATTAATACTTTTAAATGCCAGAATTTTGATCTCAAAGTCGACTTCTTATCGGCGCTCAAGAACTTAATCTCCTGTTTGTTTTCGTTTGTAGTCAATCCTAACGCCGCGTGTATTGTAGTGCCTCGGATATTGAAGGCACTCTTTCCCGTCGGGCCCGTTAACAACACTTTGATATCTTCCGGTCCACCAATCTTTTCATTTGTATTATACCATCGAATGAGCGATTGGAATACGGCGCGGATTAATACAGATTTTCCGGTCCCGGCACCGCCCGTCAAAAAGTAGTAAAACGGCTCTTTAATGTGCTTTACGTGACCCATTAATCCATACAAGAATTCTCTTTGCCGTGCGTTAAGAGACGATATTAACTCGTTATAACTGTGATCATTGAGCTCTTGAGGACATAGGAAACTACCCGCCGAAGGATTATTAGTTTCCGATTTCATTAATTCCTTCTCGAAGGCGTCTTCATTTCTGATCAAGTCGTGAATAGCATATGTGTCGGCCGTCTCTTCGTCGTCAATCAATTTCCATTCGTCTCGAAGATTTTGTTCAATCTCTGCCTGAATCAAGTCTAAGTCACTCTCCAAGTGATGAACGAAACCCTTCTCGACAGTTATGATTTGTTTGTAATTCACGTTATATTTGGTCTCAATATCAGAGTCTAGAAGTTCTTTTATCTCGTCACGCCAAGGCATGTAAAGCATACACTTTTCGCGATAATAATTAATGGGTTCGACTTCCTTCCGGTATTTCCTATTAAGTAAATAAACGTGAAAAAGTTTGAAAATTAAAATGAAAACAATTATATACCTGAATCGGATAATCTTAGACTTCTTTCGTTTAATCACATATGCCGACCTGTCTATCAAACGATAGTATTTGGCATTAATGTCCTCGCCGTTATTATTGTCACCGCTAAGAGCTGTTCTCATTCCTAATTTTCTCTTAATGTTATAATTGGCCGCGAACTCAGCTAAAGATGTGGACTCCAACTCTGAAGGTCTTTGGACATAATGCTCTAATAAGCCAACACTCACAATATCTGTTGACTTGCCGTCCAGTTCTTTCAGTTCTCGTTTAGACTTTAATATCTTAATTCGTTCCTCGGGTCGTCCTATAATCAAATTACATTTCTATTATAATTTTCTCTTATATTACTTTCAATAACTCTATACCTGTATTTATATAAATAGTTGCTCTACTACTCTCTGACAGCGGGAGACTCAAAAGAATATACACTGCTTCTTGAGCTGAGACCTCTGAACAGTTGATGAATTGTGAACAAATTCTTGAAAGTCTCTGGCCGTGAGTTTTATTCCCAGCGTTGCATTCGTCCACGACTTGCCTCAAGTGTTGACATTCCGCGGTCAGATTTGTTAATATAATTTAAGATATAATTGACACAGGCATAGGGGTCTAGAATAAACTGAATATTTATATTGGCTCTGTGGCGCAACAAAATCTTATTGTTATAACCGTTTGTTCTGATCGCACAGGGTTCTCGACGTAAAAACACTGTCGGTCTTCTAATAGTGCTGCGAATAACACGGATATACTCGTCGTTTGAGAGTCCGATTGTCGATTGTCGAAAAACTTCTCAAAATTCATTATTCGCTTCTTATCTATAAATGTAATAAAATGTAATCATGTATTAAATTATAAGCAATACATACTCTTAAGTTTTTCATCAATTATCATCAATTCATTTTTAATTTGCGCCAATTTATTGGACAAGTCGTTCCGCTCTTCATCTGACATGTTTTCAACAGAAAGGTTATCCAATACTCGAGTAGAATCCATAGGAAAATACGGAATCCCAAACCGACAAATCTCAGCGTCCCGTTTTAAACGGCGACACGATTTCGAGTGTTTATGATATTGAAGAGAGATCAGTCCTTCAATCTCGCGATCGTTAACACTACACGTCATCAAACTATTAATAAATCGCTCGCAATTTATCCACGATTCAGGAAACGAGATATCGAAGACAGGCGCTCCTTTAAGCCAAATCAAACAGTGAATATGTGGTGACCCGCGATGCTGGAATTCGAGTCTTATATAAAACTCCATGATCTCATTTGCACCAAACGGTCCGTTGACGGCTTTCAGTAGTTTAAAAAGTTCTTTGATTCGGTGATCAAAATAACGAGCGCACGTCACCGGGTCCTTCTGGATAAGTTCGCACTTCTCCATCCAAGAGAGCTGTGAAGCCTCGTCTTCAGAGATCACTCTATTATACAGCACTTTTGTTAAGATGACCAATAGTTCATTCCAATGTGTCTCCGCGGCCGATAGCGTCAAAAACAGAGTCGGGATCCCCAATTGCCGGATCATAGCCATCAGGTCACGCTTGCGCGCCTGCCAATAAGCAGGAGATGACCGGTCGTCTTTCAGAACACTATACGCGTTGTCTTTTCGCTCCATATCTGCCATAAAGTCTTTATCAAGAGCTTGGCCGGCGTTAATAGATTTCAATCCTGTGGTCATTCGCAGGTGAGTAGACACAGCACCGCGATGAGCAGTCTGTTCTTTCACTCGAAAGTTAAAGAACAATTTCGGCGGTATACAACACCGTCTATCAGTTCTTTTAATCTCAGACCTATTAAACCAATTATTTATTATAAAATTTCATAGAAAAGATAAGTGTAATGATAACAAACTTGACGATTTCGCTATAATGGAGAGCCTTATCGACATTACGAGGCCGTCCGCCATAAATCTTAGGGAAAGCTTTCTCTTCTAAATACTCGTCACTAAACACTGATACGGGCGCTACTCCTTCACCGGGGGCCAGCACTAGTCCCTGAATCAGAAACGTTTCGTCAGGATTTGGGTTCACAAGTTCTATTCCAATCGTTTCGTCCCACTATTATAAAATCAATATATTTATTAGCAATTAATCGAGAAATTATTAATAAAATATGTATACCTTCTCGTCCAGGAAATCACTATCGGAATCGCTGTCTGAGTCGTTATCATTCGAGTCACAAATGAACGGAACCACTTCATCGTTACTCCAATTAGTATTTAGTTTAATGCCTTTATATAATGGTTGTTTA